TGAGCTGAAGTGGGATGCTTAACTGACTGAGCCCCCCAGCTGCCCTGGTCTTAATTTTTTTGTGGGAGAGAGACTGCTGTATCCATTAGAATTCTGTTTAGCTCCAAGTAACAGAGACCCAACACATCGAATAGCTAAACAGGAGAGAAGTTTATCTGTCTTTCACATAGAAGTATAGAGGTGGCTTTCCAGGGATGGTATAATAGCTCTGATCCACAAAGGTCTTAGAGACCCAGGTTCTTTCTAGCACATTGTTCTTCCATCTGTACATGTGTGAACTCATGGTCCAATTAAGCTGCTAGTGTTCCAGTCATCACATCTGCATTCCAGGCAGCAGGATGGAGGAAGTAACAAGAAAGGGCAAAGAGCTATTCCTGTGTCCTGTAAGGGAGGTTCTGGGTGGGGCGGCGGGGGGGGGGGGGGGGGGGGGGGGGGGGGGGGGGCGCTGTTTCATAACATTTCTGCATATGGACATACTAACAGTAAAAGAAGCCAGGGAAGTACAATCTTCATGTATGCCTAGCTAAACCAGGAGTTCTTTTAGTGTCAAAGAATGGAATAACACATACTGGGGAACATACATACTGGGGAACATCTAGCTGTCTTTGCCATGGTTGCCCATTCATCCCCCTCCCAAATGAATTTTCTCGGAGTTGATTTCAATATATTTCTCCTGCTTTCCAAACAGTGACTTATAAATCTTTTTAAAAAGATGAATATGTAGGTGTTGTAAAAATTTATAAAATATGAAGAACAACATACAACCACTCATGATTCTACAGTGTAAAAATAACCACTGATGGGCGCCTGGGTGGCTCAGTCGGTTGAGCGTCCGACTTCGGCTCAGGTCATGATCTTGCAGTTCGTGAGTTCAAGCCCCCCATCAGGCTCAGCACTGGTGGTGCGGAGCCTGCTTGGGTTTCTCTCTGCCTCTCTCTCTCTCTGCCTCTTCCCCATTTGTGCTCTCTCTCTAAATAAATAAATAAACTTAAAAAAAAAAAAACAAAAAACACTGAAAACAACTTCACGGAAGAGCTGTCTTGAACGCTATGTAGAACAAACAACTTCTGTCTACAGAGTATTAAGATGTTCTTAAAAATTCATTAAGTAATACTGTATATTCAGGGATTCCTTCAGTAAACATTTTTAAACATCCATGTTGTTCTCCACATCTTACTAATTGATGTATATGATTGGCAAGGGGGAGCAGTGAAGGAAGTTTTTAAAATTAAATTTGTTGCTCTTGGGGCACTTGGGTGGCTCAGTCAGTTAAGCATCCAACTTCGACTCAGGTCATGACCTCGCAGTTCCTGAGTCCCGCTTCCGGCCCTGTGCTGACAGTTCGGAGCCTGGAGCCTGCTTCGGATTCTGTGTCTCCCTGTCTCTGACCCCCTCCCCGGTCACATTCTGTCTCTCTCAAAAATAAAAATTAAAAAAAAAAAAACATTAAAAAATTTTTTTTTAATTTGTTGCTCAAGATACATGAAAGTCTAGCCCAGAGGGATAGGATATACACGTGTGGAAAAGTTGGGAAAACATTCAGGGTCCTATAAGTGCCATATCTGTGGTATTGTATGTGAAAGCAGGAGGCAAAAAATGACCCTGGGTATCTTTATTTAACTGTAGAAGAAATACACAGTGGACAGTAGGTTATAAAAATGACACCTTGAGAAACACGGGTTGTTTTTTTAGTTGCTGGAGGATAAAATTTGGATTAGAAGTCACTTAAGATAGTCTGATTTAAGCAGTATTAGGAAATGATCAAACCTTAACGTGGTTGAATTCTAACCTTTCCTGACTCCCAGATTTAGAAGTCCAGAGTTCATTTGGGGGATAATTCAGTGTGCATTTAAGAAACAACTAAAATGAGCCGGGCAGTTAAATTTCGCTGAAAAATGTGATGTGTTTGGTTCTGTTCCAAATCCTGACATTAAATCAGTGCATTTTGAAAAAGCATTTTTGAAAAGAACACAAAAATTAACTTTTTCTACTGCAGATGGGTAAAATAACCATGTTAAGAGATAACACAGAAAAATCTAGGAGTTAAACCAAAGTATTGATATTACCACTAGGTGGTGAGAGAAGAGTGACTTTTTTCATTCTTTAAATGGCCTGTACGGGATTTTTTTATTTTTTATTATTTTTTTTAATATAAGCATGGACTACTTTTGTAGCTGGGAAAAGGTGGGGCTGGTGTTTGTCTTTGAAGAGCTTTTCATCAGTGGCAAAGGCGCGGTTGAGATTAATACTGTCAAAGGATAACTGCTTGTCACTGGTTATGAGCCCAGTGCTGAGATTTCCCGCAGGGGACAGTGGCGCCCATTGTGCCTGGAACTTCCTCAGGTGACCCAGGCCCCAGGCTGCTTAGTTTCCACACCGGCGCACAAACTCTTCGGGGACGAAGTGGCTGGTACGGCGGACACAGAACCTCTGTGTGGAGAGGTTTAAATTGCCGGCTTTATTTTTATGCCTGGCAACGACTGGAACGGAGAACCCACATTTGCACAAGCTGCCGGTTTCCTGTTTTCATTAAGAAAGCAGGGAATGCCGAGCAGCTGAGTGTGTGCGGGGGGCGGTGTCACCGGAGCCGGAGGGAGACTTCATTGGCGAGCATCGGGCCTATGGTGTCTGCGCGTGGCCGGGCGAAGTGTGCACGAATGTTGAACCTCTTTTCCTTACGGGGTGAAGACCGATCGAGGGCGCCCGAGGCAGGGCCGGGCGCGCTGGGAGCCAGCTGGTGAGCGGGGCGGCCGGCGGGGGGCAGGCCGGCGGGGAGAGAGGAGAGCGGGCCTGTGGGTGTGCGGGGACAGGGGAGCCGGCCGGCGGGGAGCGGAGCTCAGCGGTCGCCCGGCGGGTGGGCGGCGGGCGGCGAGCCTCAGGCCGGCGGGGAGCGCGGCGCCGCGGGCACCTGGTGGCGGGGCGGCGAGCAGGCGAGCGGGCCCGGCGGGGAGCGGAGCGCGGCGGGCATGCGCGCGCGGGGCTCAGTCTCCGGCCTGGGCACCCGCTCCCCGTGGCCTGCAGGAGCGGTGGCCCGGTTTTAGAATCGCCGGATCCCGTTGGTCAGATCTGCCTGCTTTTTCTGGACACCCGAGCCGGCGGCTTCTCTCTGCTTGTGGAATCGCAGACAGTTCTGGAAACAGGTCGGGCTGCATATTTTGAGCGAGCGTGTTGCCCGTGTGGAGTTAAAAAGGAAAGAAAGAGGGAAGGAAGGAAGCATTCTGCTAGCGTGAGCCCAAGTATTCGGGTGCCGGCTCCTCATCAGCTCACCCCGAGGTTAGAAAAGGATTAAAGCTGAGCACCTGGTTCCAATAGCATTTCCACGTTTTAGAAATGAAATCCAGTGTCTAAATACGAACAGGGAGAACAGCTTAATATTGTTTTAAATCAGGACACGAAGAATACATAACCTTTCTACTCCACTGCTTGGCAGTCTTTTTGTACTTTTCTTTCCAACTTTTCAGAGGAAAGAGGAGGCAAAAGGTTTACTCAGTGCCTTCACCCTATCAGGTGCAAATGCCCAGCAGTGATTGGACTAGGAAGGACAGGCAGGCAACCCAAATTTTATAAAGTGAACTGGAAATGCTTGTCCGGCAATGTGGTGGGTTTTTACACCCAGGATAGGAGCAGGGGTACACATGGCTTGCATTTTCACTCATTGGTTTTGGGATCTTTCCACTGCTCAAAAAAAGAAAGAAAAAAAAAAGCAGAGTTTGTTATTATGACTCTAGGAAAACACATTACTTAATCCTGCAATTTAAACAAACAAAAACGGCCTTGCTTTTCTATTTGAAATGCACAGCTCAGGTCAGCAGCAAGGTCTGTGCCTTGAAAAGTTCTTGTGTTTCCTTTTCTAAATGTTTGGTTTAGCCCCAAGTTAGCATTTACTGAATGCCACATGATCCAGTGTTTAGAGTATAGGTTTGCTTTTATTTTCGTTCTCTTCTGCATCTGTTTGGACGTGTTACAAATACAAAAGGAGGTGTTCTTGGGAGATCGAATGTTTTGTCCAAAAGAAATCCAAGAGAGAAAAGTTCTCCGTTTGAGACAGGGGTGGTGGTGGTGGTGGTGGTGGTTTTTAAATGGGAAGGCACGAAGAGTTGAAGTCTGCCTTCTGTGTTCTTACACACATGCTGCTAGAGTTAATCACTCATTGCCCCCGGCTTTCTCAGCAAGGAAAGGGTCAAGGCAAATTGTGATCTTGTGGTGGTGGTCAGGCACTGGGGTGCTTTCGGCCACCATTTAGAAAGGCTGCAGTGTCTGCAAAAGACCAGTGGTGGGGAGAACTCACGTCCTGGGCTTCCTGGATCTGCACCGATGTGGTCCTTTATTCTAAGCGTTTTCACCTTTGGTGCCTCATAGTTCACTTTATAAAATAGGAGTCTTTAAAAAAAAATTGTTTTTTAATGTCTTTATTTGTGAGAGAGAGACACACACACACACACACACAGAACCCGAAGCAGGTCCAGGCTCCAAGCTGTCAGCACAGAGCCCCACACAGGGCTCAAACTCACCAGCCGTGAGATCAGGGCCTGAGCCGAAGTCAGACGCTTAACCAACTGGGCCACGCAGGCACCCCGAAAATAGGAGGCTTAAGGACTGTTCTCTATACCTCAGTGGCCTGTAGACAACAAAAGAAATGATCTCCCTGAAAACACAAGTCTTTTCAATATGTTCTTTCCAAAAATAAAAGTAGTTGGTAAGCACTTCATATACCCTGGGATCCTTAAAACCACAGTCTCATTACATTCTTTACCAACCTTATGAGGTAAATATACTTGTTGTTTCCATTTTTACTCAGGGAGAAGCTGAAGTTCCCAGGGGTATACTCGCTTACTCACCCAACTGTCAGGTTGTAGATCCAGGATCAGAACAGACAGAAGTCCGTCAACTCTGAAATCACACTAGTTTGCCACACTGCCGAATATACAGATACTGGTTTTTATCACTGAGTGTATCACATGGCATTATAATACTCCCTTCTCGCTCTCCTAGGAAAAACAGATGATGTTCTGAACGGAGATCCTGACAAGGAACAGAAAGATCCTTACTTTGTGGAGACCCCCTATGGTTATCAGCTGGACTTAGACTTCCTCAAGTACGTGGACGACATACAGAAAGGAAACACCATCAAGAAACTCAACATCCAGAAGAGGCGAAAGCCGTCGGTGCCATGCCCGGAAAGCAGGGCCGTGCCCGGTCAGCAGGCTGTGTGGACTTCCACGGAATCCCTCTCGTCCTCCAACAGTGATGACAACAGGCAGTGTCCTCACTTCCTAGTAGCCAGAAGCCACGTTACGTCGACTCCCATCCCAAGGCCCCCTGCCCCTCTGGAGGCCTCACCCCCTTTCCTTACCGTCCCAGAAAGTCGACAGCTGCCACCGCCCTCCCCTCAACTCCCAAAGCACAACCTTCATGTCACCAAGACGCTGATGGAGACCCGGAGGAGACTGGAACAGGAGAGAGTCACCATGCAGGTGGCCCCGGGTGAGTTCCGCAGGCCCAGGCTGGCCAGTTTTGGAGGCATGGGCTCCACGAGCTCGCTCTCCTCCTTCATGGGTTCCGGAAACCACAATCCTGCCGCGCACCAACTTCAGAATGGATACCAAGGCAACGGCGAGTACAGCGGCTATGCCCCAGCCGTGGCCACCACGTCGTCCATGGGGAGCTCCATCCGCCACAGCCCCCTGAGCTCAGGGATCTCCACGCCAGTGACCAACGTGAGCCCCATGCACCTGCAGCACATCCGCGAGCAGATGGCCATTGCCCTGAAGCGCCTGAAGGAGCTCGAGGAGCAGGTGCGAACCATCCCTGTGCTCCAGGTGAAGATCTCCGTCTTGCAAGAGGAGAAAAGACAGTTGGCCTCGCAGCTGAAACACCAGAGAGCGACAGCCCAGAACGACGCGTGCGGTGTGAGGAAGCGGTCCTACAGTGCGGGGAACGCGTCGCAGCTGGAGCGGCTCTCCAGGGCCCGGCGCAGTAGCGGCGGAGGTGAACTGTACATCGACTACGAGGAGGACGAGATGGAACGCGTGGAACAGAGCGCGCAGAGCATCAGGGAGTTCCGGCAGCTCGCGGCAGACATGCAGGCCCTGGAGCGGAAGATCCAGGACAGCAGCTGCGAGGCCTCCTCGGGGCCCCGGGAGGACGGGGAGTGCCGGTCCGTGGCTGTGGGTGCCGACGAGACCATGGACCGCGTGGTCGTGTACCGCAGGGGCTCCGCGTCCCGGAAGGACGCCGCCGTCGGGACGGCCACCAAGTCAAGGAACTGTGGGGTCGGCGTGACAGAGGCCATGCTTGGCGTGACCACGGAAGCGGACAAGGAAATAGAGCTGCAGCAGCAGACCATAGAGGCCTTGAAGGAGAAGATCTACCGCCTGGAAGTGCAACTGAAAGAAACCACCCATGACCGCGAGATGACTAGACTCAAGCAAGAGCTGCAGGCCGCGGGGTCGAGGAAGAAGGCGGACAAAGCCGTGACGGCCCAGCCGCTGGTTCTCAGCAAGATGGTGGAGGCGGTGGTGGCCACCAGAGACCAGACGGCTGGCCATCACGTGGACCTGGCGGATGCCTGTGTCGGGAGCGCCGTGCAGATGCACAGCCTGGGCGTCTCCTGCCGGCCCCGTTGTGAGAGCAGGCTCGTGGGGCCCGAGCTGCCCATGAATTGGTGGATTGTCAAGGAGAGGGTGGAAACGCACGAGCAGGGTACTGGGAGGTCCGTGGAGACGTGCGACAAGAGTGTGGGTGTGGAAATCAGCGTCTGCGAAACGGGCAGCAACACGGAGGAGTCCGTGCACGATCTGTCGCTCCTCAAGACCAACCTGAATCTCAAAGAAGTGCGATCCATCGGCTGCGGGGATTGTTCCGTTGACGTGACTGTCTGCCCCCCGAAGGAGCTCACGTCCCGGAGCGTGAACACAGAAGCCGCTGGCCTGGTGGAGGCTGCTGTCATGGCGGTGCCTCGTACCGCGAGCCAGCACACCAGTACGGTTTGGGAGCAGGTGGACCGGGGCACCAACACCGAGGTGGTTACCCTTGCGGAATCCTGCACCAGCACTTCCCTCAGCACTTTGGACAAGCAGACCAGCACTCAGACCGTGGAGATGCGGACGGTGGCTGTAGGAGAAGGCCGCGTGAAGGATGTCAATTCCTCCGCCAACACACGGTCCATCGGAGTTGGAACCGTGCTCTCTGGCACTTCTGGGTTTGACAGGCCGTCGGCCGTGAAGACCAGAGAGTCAGGCGTGGGGCAGATAAATATTAATGACAATTATCTGGTTGGTCTCAAAATGAGGACCATCGCCTGTGGCCCTCCACAGTTGACTCTGGGGCTGGCAGCCAGCAGGAGGAGCGTCGGCGTAGGAGATGGGCCTGTTGGCGGCGAGTTCGCGGAGAGCCCCCTGCCCCAGGCTCCTGCCGGAATGGTGACCGGCTTGGATCACTACATTGAGCGTGTCCAGAAGTTGCTGGCTGAGCAGCAGACACTGCTGGCTGAGAACTACAGTGAACTGGCAGAGGCTTTTGGGGAGCCTCACTCGCAGATCGGCTCTCTGAACTCTCAGCTCATTAGCACCCTGTCCTCGATCAACTCAGTCATGAAGTCCGCAAGTACGGAGGAGCTGAGGAACCCTGACTTCCCAAGAATGAGTCTGGGTAAAGTCACAGGTAGGTGGGTTTCTGAGGGAGCCAGGGAGGAGGGAGGGTGGGAATAATAATGTACTTCCAGGAGGTATGGGTCTTTTTAATTGCTGGAACCATTTTTTTTGGAACCGTGGAGAGAGCTTTAGAATGGTAGTGCGTAGCAGGAACACCCATAAGCAGCAAGAATCAAAACCCAGAAACAGCTCTGCTGATTCTCGTTGTCTGATGGTTTCACTGGCCTCTGGCTGAGGACTGTGGCCGGGAGCAGAAAAGCAAGCTAGCGTTGGCTGGCCTAGTGGCTATCTTCTGGGACGCACCGGTTTGCTACGACATCTTCTAGTTACTTACTTGCTCATTTTATACAGGACAGCCTGAAAAAGTCCCACGGTTTGTAATCATAGTTACCTGTATGTGATCAATGACACATACTGGCATAAAATGTTTCTCATTAAAACTTTTACCAAGGTATGGAGCGCCTAGGTGGCTGTCGGTTAAGTGTCCCACTTTGGCTCAGGTCATGATCTCGTGTTTGTGGGTTTGAGCTGCACATCGGGCTCTGTGCTGACAGCTCAGAGTCTGGAGCCTGCTTGGGATTCTGGGTCTCCCTCTCTCTGTCTCCCGCCCCACCTCCCCATCACGCGCATGCGTGTTCTCTCTCTCTCTCAAATAAACATTAAAAAAAAAAAAAAAAAAGCTTAAAAACTTCTACCAAGGGAGAGCGATTCCATGAATTCACTTGCTAATTCAGCAAGTAATGATTGAATTCCTACTCCATTCCAAGCACAGTTAGAGGCTTCTGTCGTCACAATGCTTACTTTCCTGTTGAGGGCACAGGCAATAAACAGTAGACCTGAAGGATGTCAGGTGATGATCCATGCTATGAAGAAAAGAACTCCAGTTATAGGGATAGCGAGTGGAGATGGTTGGGGCCGGGGCGGGGGGTTGGGGGGAGCTCTTGGAAATGGGGTGGTCCAGAAAGGCCGCTCTGATAAGGGCGTCCGCAGCCCGAACTCAGAGAAGAGAGCCTTTCCCGTGGTTCATTTTGATAGGTGCTTACATTTTTGTCTTTCTTCTCCTCTCTTCAGGGGGATTCCTGCTCACCCCAGCTTTTCTTTAAATTGAAACTAATTGAGAAATTACCCCAGAAGGCTTTAGGACATAGGATATTTCCCAGCAGGCCTCGTTAGAAGGACTTCCCTTTGCCATGTGTCTCTAATTGTGCATCTTATCATCATAGGACAGGGTTCTGTTCCTGGTTTTCCAGCTCTCTCACACCAGCATGATCTGGGGAGACAGAGTCACCCTTCTTTACCCTTTATTTGTAAAATGGGAACAGAAGGGCACCCATCCTGTAAGGCTGCCTCTGTATTCACTGCGGGAATAAGCCTTTATTGTCATTGGTGATGGTGCTAATCGTGTGTGTCCCGTGTGGCTTCTTTTGTTGACACGCTGAACTGTATTTGAGGTTTGGAAAGCTACTAAAAACACACTCTCGGGACGCCTGGGTAGGTCAGTCGATAGAGCGTCCAGCTTCAGCTTAGGTCATGATCATGCAGTTTGTGGGTTTGAGCCCCGCATCGGGCTCTGTGCTGACAGCTTGGAGCCTGGAACCTGCTTCAGATTCTGGGTCTCCCTCTCTCTCTCTGCCTCTCCCTTGCTCACACTATGTCTGTCTCTCTCTCTCTCTCTCTCTCTCTCTCTCAAAAAGAAAGAAAACATTAAAAAAGAAATTAAAAAAAACCCATACTCTCTACTCTGACTAATGCTTCAGGTAAAATGAATGTTAATGCTTCAAATGGACTGTATGGTGTGCATTTAATTTGATATGAAAACATGTATTATAGACTGAATTGTAAGTAAACCATTAACAAAAATTTTTAATTCTTTGTTTCCCTTTACAGTCAAAAGAGTAATGATTAAAATAGGCTGAAATAGATTACTTTTATGTGTTCCTAGGTTTTCACTCTCAAACCTGAATTAATGTTAGTTTCTAGTAAACGTTCTATGCGAAGAGATAGCTTATCATAGAAGAAAAAAAATGAACATGGCAATGACAGCCGATGTGTGGGGTTTTTGCCTTTTAGAATCAAGCCTAGTAAATGTACAGAGGGGTCATTTTAGAGTAAATAGGATTAAAACGATACGTGGACTGAAGCAGTCTTAAGTAACTAATAACATGTTTGTTTCTACTTCTTTTTAAAAATCATGATGTCAGATGTGAAGTCCAAATAAAACTCTTAAATGCCTCCAGACACAGATGGTGCACTGCATCATCCATTATAAGAAGATTTTCTTGCCGGCTTCCTCCCTCCTCCCCAAACTGGGGTTTCTATTTCACATTCCTGCCAAAAATATTAAGTTGTACCCTTGCAGTCACCCGCCTGACACCGTGAGCATCAGGAACAGGGAGAAGGTTTTGACATCCCTGTTTAGATCTGACCCCGCAAATGAACACCGATTTAATCAGCTAAAATACAGGAGACCTACAGCATTTGAGCAAAAGTATGAATATTTTTAATAGCACTTATTTGGTCATAGTGGCAGCTCCCTCCCAGCACACAAGAGCAAATTTAAAGTGCCTCTGGGGGAGCCTGGTGGCTCAGTTGGTTGAGCATCCGACTTGGGCTTAGGTTGTGATGTCGTACTTCATGAGTTCGAGCCCCGCTTTAGGCTCTGTGCTGACAGCTCAGGTCCTGGACCCTGCTTTGGATTCCGTGTCTCCCTCTCTGCCCCTCTCCTGCTTACACTCCGTCTCTGTCTTCTCTCAAAAATAAATTAAATGTTAAAAAAACATTTAAAAATAAAGTATTTCTGTAATTCACATCACATTTGTCTTCTAAAGTTCTAGTGAAGAAGGAGTCCTGTTAGGGACTCACCCAGAGCATTAAGCTTCTGTTACTCGTTATTGTTATATGGACTGAAAATTAAAGTAGCTTGTTACAGTAGAGCTTTTCAGCACTTGCAGGCTGTGAAGAGTGAAGACGTGTCAGAATCACTGGGACTTACCGCGGGCTCTGTAGGATACAGAATATTGTTCACGCCCAGTCTAGAATACATTTCATGTAGAGCATAGGCATTTTTTCCCCCAATGAAAATAATGTGGAATTTGAGTTTGACATCACCAAAAGAGCATAGAAATGATGCCTTACATGAACCTAGTACTTTACTTTAAGAAGTTAAGTTTGGGGCACCTGGGTGGCTCAGTCGGTTGAGCATCTGACTTCGGCTCAGGTCATGATCTCATGGTCCGTGAGTTCGAGCCCCGCATCAGGCTCTGGGCTGATGGCTCAGAACCTGGAGCCTGTTTCAGATTCTGTGTCTCCCTCTCTCTCTGACCCTCCCCCGTTCATGCTCTGTCTCTCTCTGTCTCAAAAATGAATAAACGTTAAAAAAAAAATTTTTTTTTAAAGTTAAGTTTGGCTCTGAAGCCGGACATTCTGCGTTCAGATTCTTTTCTCGGCCACTAGGACAATTTGTCTTTGTTCCTTCGTGGGGTTGAAATGAAGATTTAATGAGTCAATAGGAGGAAAGCTTTTGGAATAGTCTGCAGCACAGAGTGTAAATGATCAATAAATGCTGGCTGTCATTGCTGTTTTAGTACTTCCAGAAATGGAAATGTAGATATGGAACAAGTGGCCCAAATGCAAATTGTACAAATGGCCTTTTGTTTCTAATCCAAGTTTCTGTCTTCATAATTCTGGCTGTCACCTTCTTCCCTCAATTATTATGCCTCCCCAACAAACAGTTTTATCAAGATAAAGATACCGGTAACAATGGGAAAACACAAAACAAACAGAATAAGTGTTCAATTCTGAGTCATTCAGAGTCTGCGTAAAAGCTAAAGCTAAAGCCTAAATTGAATTTTGTGTATTTGTGCCCAGTCCAGAGACTTCTCCATTTTTCTAGGTTGGAGATTGGAGGGCATCACTTTTTCACAGTGAAAGAACATTCTTTTTTGTAGCACCATAATGCCTAACACCCCGATTCAGTTTTTTAAAATTATAACTGAAATATGTGCTTGTAACAAATTAACAGTTCAGGAAGAGCACAAAATAAAAAGGGAAAGTCTCCTCGTGCTCTCTTGGGGTAATCCCTTGTGTGGTTGTTGTATACAGGTGTGTATGTGTGTGGCTCTGTATTTTAGAGATGTAATTTCATAACAAAAGTTGAATTGTACATACTCTATTTTTCACATAGAAGGTCACCAACATTCTTCTAGGATTCAAGAGACCTTGTCATAATTTTGACACAGCCGCAAGTTGTTGATGACCCAAGATGTTCTGTAAAGCACTTTTTTTCCTCAATGTGTCTTTTTGAAAATTTTAATTCCAGTGTACTTAACATATAGTGTTAAAGTAATTTCAGTTGTGCAATATAGTGATTCAACAATTCAATACATTATTCAGTGCTCTTCATGATAAGTGTATTTTTTTAATGTTTATTTATTATATTTTTGAGAGAGAGAGAGTGAGCAGGGGAGGGGCCAGAGAGAGAGAGAGAAAGGGAGACAGAGAATCCCAAGCAGAATCCGTGCTGTCCGCACAGAGCCTGGTGCAGGGCTCAATCTCACAAGCCGTGAGATCATGACCTATGCTGAAATCAAGAGCCGATGCTTAACTGACTGAGCTACCCAGGTGCCCCAATAAGTGTATTTTTCATTTGCTTCACATATTTCACCGTCCTCCCACCCACCTCCCCTTTGGGAACCATCTGTTTTCTATATTTAAGAGTCTGGGTTTTTTTTGGTCTGTCTCTTATTTTGTTTGTTCATTTGTTTTGTTCCCTAAATTCCACGTGTGAGTGAAATCATATGGTATTTGTGTTTCTCTGACTTACTTCACTTAGCATTATACCCTCTAGCTCCATCCACGTTGCTGCAAATGGCACAATCTCCTTCTTTTTATGGCTGAATAATATTACATTCTGTACATAAGCCACATCTCCTTTATCCAGTCATCAGTTGATGGACCCTTGGGCTGTTTGCATAATTTAGCTGCTGTTGATAGTGCTACAGTGAACATCAG